CAATAGAAAATAATGAAAGAAAGAACAAGAAGAAACTAGATTTGGAGAAATTGATCAAGACATGTTTTGTTAGGCAAACAAAATCGACCCTCTTACGGTTATATTTATGAATTTGTTTATTTCTTTTTCAAGAAGGATAATTGTCAATATTTGATAATTTTGGAGATTTAACAATATATTTTTTTTTTAATTTGAGACTGTTGAATACATTGTCTACTATAATCATTGATAGTTATTGAGATATATATGCATTGATAGTTATTGAGATAATAATCGTATTCTTCATTGGAATTGTTTTTCTTTTTTGTTTTTGTTTTCCCAGAGATATGGCTTTTGTTGTCAAGAAGAGATCTACTCTTTTTGTGCCTCTATGAGAGCTTAATCCTCTTTTGGACCGATGTGAGGTACCCTAATACTTTAGGTTAGCTTTCTATTATTTTTCTACTAATAATTATTCTAGTGTTTAATAGTTACAACGTCTTCTCAAGGTATAGTTTGTTCTTCTATTTTTCTTGCTTGTGTATATTTTGTTTTTTGTGTGTATGAAACTGTATATGTGCTGTTCATGTGTTTGTTAATTATATCATTAAATCATTATTCTTTCATTCATGATTATTGTTTGATTCTTTTTACTAGATTTTAACGTTCAAGGGGATTCAGCGGTGATTTGAGGATTGGATTTTGCAACGGTATTTTTCGATGTTTTCGGGGTTGGATTACGTTGAATCCTCGACCCGACGGTGGAACAATTCGGTGGTGCAGTTGTGGTCCGGCATAGATGTCGTGCATGCTCATCGTCCTCCTCAACCATAAAGAAGACACGTGGGTCCATGTGTTAAATTAATGTGTATTGATTTTTATGATAGATTTAGCAAATAGATTTTAATTTGATTGTAATGGGTATTTGTTTTGCTGGGATTTGAATTACCATGTAATAATAGGGCATCTTGGCTTTATCAATACTTGACTATAAATAAAAAGAAGCTTTTAACGTCTTTTCTAAAGTCTAATTTGTTCTTATTCTTAAATTTATGTGTTTTGTTTTCTGTTATATGGTTGTGTTCTTTTTTGAAGGTATAATTTGTTCTTATTCTTAAATTTATGTGTTTTGATTTCTATTATATTGTTGTGTTCTTTCTTTTTCTATCTTATATTCATCTTTATAGTGTTTTAATTATTGTCGTCCTATCTAACAATTATTGTAGTTGAGATAGCAAAATTACTTATATAAATATTTTTTTTACTAATCGGGATAAATATGTGTTCCTATTATCAATTTAAGTCATTATTCAAAATATGTGTATGCTGACGGATTTATATCAATTTATGTAAAACGTCAATTTTATTGTTATCTTATATAAATAAAAATATTAGTTTTTGTCTCATTTCTAATCGAATTATCTCTTTATTTTAATTGAAGATGAAATTCTCTTTTTATTTGAATTTTATTGTATTTAATCAGAATATATGTTAGATCGCATATCTTTTGCTATTTGTTTAGATTTTTTGCTCAATAGTGATTGTGTGTTATATAAAATGTATGTTTATATTTATATGAGTTTAGTTACGAATGGAATAATTCCAGTGGATTTATATGTTAGATTTKTTTWGTTTAAATATGCAAATAAATTGAACTTGTGTGATTTTTAAAACTGTAAATAGGTAAATTTCTATTTTATATGGATAGTAGATATTATCATCGGTAACTCTTTTTATCTTATATAATATTTGATTCAGGTCATATATTATAATATATGTTTTTGTTATTGGTTATCCTATGTTAAAAACAAGAATTAGATTTATATGAATTTAGATGCGATTGGAATAATCCTTTAATATTTATCTATTAGATTCATGTAGTTTTAGATATTTAAACAGGAGATTTGATTTTTAATGAAAATATATAATTATTTTACTTGTAATTATAGACTATTAGGTGTATCTAAATATAATTTTATGGTAGATTTTGTTAGGTTTATATATTACAAGGAAACTTTCTTGATTTTTTAAATATAAATATCTCATTATTTTCATGTTGTACTATTATTTTGTTATTAGTTTTTCACATATTTAAGAGATATACTTTGACAAATGTAATTATCCCATTATTGTTCAGTTTTTATATGAAAATAACAAATAATTTTAATGTTGTGTGATTATCCTCTTATTATTGACAAATGTAATCATCCCATTATGTTTTACGTGTTTGATCCTGAATTAAGATTTCGTAAATTAATAAGTGTTCTTCTTTGGTTTTTTTATATAATTATTTTAATATTTAGATATTGCAATTAACTTTTGTATTGATTATTATAAATTTTACCAGGAGTTGAGATATTGTATTGGCGATTGAGGAACTACAATTTCTCAT